GGCAGGATGAATGTTATCCCTCGGTCCAACCCACTTTCAGCCTGGCCCATTAGGGGGCGCTAGTATAAATAGTGGCCATTTGAGTGTCTCTGCATCGCTTGCCTGTGATCTCCTTTTTGGTCACCTGACTTCCTCGGTGTGGTAGAGATCGTTTGTGGGTTACTCCTCTAAAGTCTCCATCGCGGCTGGTCGTAGCTATAGAAGCCTCCTCTGAGCTATTCTGCTTACGTTCTGTGACCCGGCTTACTTGGTACGTAATCAACTTTTGTTACGCTCTCTGCCTTCTATTGTTCTTTTATAGTAATTATTTATTATGTTTCGCAGGAAGTGTGGGCCTTAGTTTTGCGCCAAGCTACGCGAACTGAAGTGCTGCTGTTTTGCCTTGCTGTGCTTTTACCGTCTGTTCCCGTTGTGAGAATTCTTCCCTGCTGCTGTCAGCTTTTACAGTGGACGTCGGCGTGGACAACGGCCATATGCATGCCGGTTATCGGAGTCAGCTGGCGTGCATATTGATTGACTGTTAACTTATCGTCGTGTGGACGGCAAGTTGGAGCAGTACGGCGATTCCGTTTGCTCCAGATTTTAGAGTTTTATTCAGATTGTATGTTGTTTTATTGCTTTTTGATTTGTAGTTTGGATTTTCTGTTACACCACTGGTGGGAGGCCCTTTTTCTAGCTGTGGATCACCAGTGTGGTCTTGCAGTTGGGTTATCCCCCGGTGCTACACATTAGTTTGTTGTAATATATTAAAATTTTCTTTGTTTCTTTTATTCAGATGCGGAGTGCCGACGTGGAGGAGACTAGGGTGCCTTGGTGGTGGGATCCCTTGAGTGTACACACCTGCCTTGTTTAGTTTATTAGTGTGAGTGTGTGATAGTGTGCTGCACTTGTGTTTTGGGTGTGTTTTCTTTCTTTAGTTTGTGTGTGTGGCATCCCTGCCCCCCCACTGGTAAGCCTCAGCTCTGAATATCTTTTTCAGCATATTTGTACTTGAATATTTATGATTGTGCTTTTATATGGTGTTTTAAATAATTATTAATAAATTGTGAATTTGTTGATCATTGAACCTCGTCTCTGGATTGAGTATAGCGAACCTAAGTGCCTTTTTGGTGATTTAGTGTCATTTCCAGTATTCTCTGGGTGAAATTCCCAGGGTGGCGTTGTCGTTCTTTAAAACTGAAGAGTATTTACTTTATATCCCAACCTCGTCTTGCCACATTACAATAAAAAATGTCAGTTAAATATCATACAGGAGACACACACAGTGATATTTGAGAAGTGAAAAGAAGTTTACTGGATTTACAGAAAGTGTGCAATAATTGTTTAAACAAAATCAAGCAGGTGCATCAATTTGGGCACCACAAAAAAGAAATGAAATGAATATTTAGTGTATATCAATGTGTGCGTCTCCTATATGATATATGGGGTGCCTTTGTCTGGATGTGCTTCCCATCCAGAGCTGCACAGCACAGAGGAAAGTTCCAGCGCTCCTGGAATCCCTCTGTGATGGACCGCCAGTCTCCAGGTGAAGGCACAGCCATGAAGTCGTCCACTAGACAGTCCCAGATGGACGTCGCTGCCTGGGGGGTGATCTCGCTCACCGTGGACACACCGACTCTGAAACTGAATGCGATGGTCCTGAAGGAGTCCCCGGTGACAAGGAACCTGGACAAAATTGTTCAAAATCAGTATTATGTGTACTTTTACGCTGCTGCTCTGCTCTCCACAGTACATAGAGAAGGGAGACTCTCTCTTCAAGCGCTAGCTCGATAGCTGCCATCTTGCAAAGATACCGGTCTGGCACAACTCCCTCCCACATTCCTCCCACATTTCCGGTTCACGCGCGTCAAAATTTGACGCGCGATGGATTTTTCTTGGACACGCGTTGAGACGCGAATGTACACGCGTCAAATTAGAGGCGTTTTATTCGCGTCCATCGCGTTCGGTGTGAACACACCGTTAGCCTCCCTGTCATGGTTAGGGCAATCTTGGGCTGACTGGATCTCTCCCCGGAGGGCCATCGCCGCTGCTTCCGGGAGGATCAGACAGGGTTCAAGGTTCAAGGTTCTTTATTTGTCACATGCATAGTTATACAAGTATAAAACACAGTGAAATGTAACCTGACACGCTCCTCGACATGTGCAAAAATGGGGGGGGGGGGGGGGGGTGTAGAGGAAGAACATTATATATATATATATATATATACATATATAAAAAACACCCAGCACGCCCATGCGGGCGGTTTTATCCTTCAAGCTCGGGTCCTCTACCAGAGGCCTGGGAGCTTGAGGGTCCTGCGCAGTATCTTAGCTGTTCCCAGGACTGCGCTTTTCTGGACAGAGATCTCCGATGTTGTTCCCGGGATCTGCTGGAGCCACTCGCCTAGCTTGGGAGTCACCGCACCTAGTGCTCCGATTACCACGGGGACCACCGTTACCTTCACCCTCCACATCCTCTCGAGCTCTTCTCTGAGCCCTTGGTATTTCTCCAGCTTCTCGTGTTCCTTCTTCCTGATATTGATCATATATATATATATATAGTATATACATTGGGTGAATGTGCAGTAGTAGCAGTAGTAGCAGCAAGCAGGTGAATTCTGTACATTAATATGAATAGACATCTGACTATTTTACAGGATAGACAATATAAACATATTTAAAATTAAAGGAATTTGAAATGTACATTGTGCCTTGGTTTAGTGTCTGGAAGAGAGTCCTGTCTCAGTCAGTTATAGATGATGTGAGAGGGCGGGTGTTTCTACCCGCCCTCCCGGGAGACATGCCCCTCGCTAGGGGCTGCATGATGTTGCAGGCAGGTGGGTGCAGCCAGGCCCCACACCAGGAGAAGTGTGACTGCTGGACGTGGTAGTACGAGAAAGGTTTGTTGAGTGGATGGCCAGCTGGTGATAGCAGACCAACCCCGCCCTCCTGGCCGCGAGGCCCTCAAGATTGCTGTAACCCAGTCAGACGATCACTTGGCAGCGCAGCTGGCACGCGGCAGGAAGTCAACTATTTCCAACTCCAAGGAGGAGGTTCCATGAGGCTTCCCCAGCCCAGCCAGCTGCTGAGCACCAACACCTTCCTTCTCCGGTAGAGACCTACTCTATACCTGGGCTGCATGCAAGCCCTGATCCACCTAACCCTGGTTCACCTGGGACAGACAGTAGACACAGTACTGTTTGTCATGGTACTTGTCACGGTATAATAGTAGGCACGATAGTGATGTTATCCATATATGACAAATAAAACTTAAAACTGAAACATTTCACATAATAACAAATGGTTTACCGTCTCTTCTGCTCCTGACCCTTCACTTAAGCTCTGCAGCCTGAAGTCCTTCTTTTACCTTTGTGAAATATAGTGGTCTTTCCATGTAGAGACGTTCTGAGTGATGCAGAGCCAAGAGCTATTCTTGAGTGTAAACAACTGAATGGGTTCCCTGCCACAGTTTTAAAAATGTCCAAATAGTAGGAAGATTCATACTACTACTATAATAAATTGAGCAACCATATTCAAAAAGGTTGATACTTAACAAGGTAATAAAACACGGAGCTGCTGAATCAGATATAGTGAACTGTGCCACAGACAGTGAAAAAGTACTACACTGCTCAAAAAAATGAATGGGGCAGATTTCATTTGGGAAAAAAATGTGTTCGATATCTAAACAGATATGGATTGGGTAATATGTTGGAAATGAAAGCATGCCCCAATGTTTAATGGGAATGAAAATGATCAACCTACATACAGCTGAATTCAAAGATATCCCAAAAATCAAAGTGGAAAAAATGATGCAGCGGACTATTCCATTTTACCAAATTTATTTTGCAGCAATGCAAAATAGTACTCAGTAGTACAAGTATGCATGCACGGTGCATGTTCCTCATGAGATGACAGATGCTGTCATGCAGGATCATCGCCCAGACCTGGACCAGGGCACTCCTAAGACAGTCTGAGGTGCAACCTGGCAGCATTGGAAGGACTGAAACATAATATTCCAGAGGTGTTCTGTTGGATTTACATCAGGCGAGTGTGGCGGAGAGTGGTATCAGTTCCTCTAGGAACTGTATACTCTTACCACATTCGGCCATTGTCATACACTAGGAGGAACCTAGGATCCACTGTACCAGTATAGGGTCTAACAATGATTTCATCCTGATATCTAATGGCAGTCAGGTTGCCTTTGCCTAACCGGTAGAGGTCTATGTGTCCCTCTATGGATATGCCTTCCCAGACCATTTAATTCAGCTGTAATTAGTTTAGTTAAAATTATGGCTTTATAACAATTAGATTGACACAGATATTTCTTCATCTAAGCAAGGCATTGCACTACGTCATTGTTGTCCTGTGACTCATTATTACAACCAGCCTTTGTTCAGACAAAGTCAGCTGCTACTGCACTGATAAGAAAAACAAGCATGTCTGCTTATGTTAGGAAGTGGAAGGGAGATGTGGAGGGGCTTGGGGGTAGGTCCAGATTGTACTTAAGTAAAAAAAAAGTCATGTGGAGACTGTTTTTGTAATCACTGACATGGACTTATTAGGTAACTAACATTTTGGGATTATTCAACATGTCACATGAGACAGACACACACACACAGAGCTCATATTTCGTGTGATGCGATTAATTTTTAGAATCATTTCTGGTGCCACACAATCAGTAAAATCTGGCTGATATCATAGGGACTCCATCCATTCATCCATCTGTCCATTCATTTTCTACAGAGTCACATTTGTCATATTTCATGGTCTATTGATTTTTTTCAACTAATTAAGTAATTTCTTGATCTACAGAAGACACGCCTAACAAGTGACATTATAAGCCGCATTGCTGCAACTGTAAGGTCCATTTAGTGCCATGCTAATGTGTTTAATCTCATTACATGACCTTTAATGCAAAAAAACGAAAATGTCCTTGGAATGTAAAAAAAACCCAGAAATTATCCTGCAGTTCTAGCTCATCTAATACAGTTGAAACTCATTGCTAAAATTTGTATGTTGCAGGTTTGGTCGTAAGTCAATGATTCTGGTGTCTTTCATTGCCTCCACGACATTAGGAGCCACTTCTGCCTTCTCCACTTCCTACACTATGTTTGCAATCTCCAGAGCAGTCTGTGGTGCAGCCCTCAGTGGGATGTCAATCATTGGTGTGGTCCTCGGTAAGAAATTTATGAAACACAAAGTCTAATGTCCATTCACTTAAATTTCACTTAAATACATTTCTACAGTACCCCTTTAATCAGTGTAAAACCTGCTGTGAAGTGTTGTGCAATGTTTTTTGTTTATTGGATATTATTCTTCATAAAAATATAACTTTTTAAATCATATCAACTCTTTCTTTCCTTCAAAAATATGTTTCATCATTATGCATTGATTTGATCGTTAGTGGTCTAAAGAGAGAGAAATGTAACGGCAGTCTGCAAATGCTTTTTGTGTTCTATTATGCAGAAGGTGTCTTTTGGCACTGGTGGGTGAGTGATGAGAGCAATATTAGCCTGCTTTTAGTCGGAGACCTACAAAGTCCACGTTAGGTTGGGAGTAGCTCTGGCATACTGTGTAATTCACAGGTTTGTCAGCCAGAAAGATGTGATATATATGCCCTTGCTCACCATTCCTCTTTTCTAGTTCTGAAATGCCCTTCTGAGTTTTTTTCCAGTGTTTCACAGTACCTGTCAGCATTTCTTGTGGTCCCAACAGGCAGAAAGTCACCAACAATATCCCCTTTCGGTCCGAAAACACAGTTGCGCAATGCCCGCACTGCGCACACTGTGCATAAGCATTCTCCATAACACCGCGCGTCCACACGTCGCCCGTCAAACTGTCACTCTCCTGCAAGACTTCGGTTGGAAGTTCATCGCCCGCCTACCCACCCTATAGTCTGGACTTTGCACCCAGTGACTACAACCTGTTCCGAACGCGATTCTGCGAAAGCAGCGAGCGGACATGACATGGGCATTGTAAAACTCCTACAGTGCCTGCAAAAATGTAGAAAAATAATTAAATGTGTTTACCCACACCATCTCATTTAATGTTTTTACTTCATTTTCATCATTATTTACATTGTAGATTCTCACTGAAGGCATCAAATTTAAAAACATATTCTACATTTTCTCTTGCATTTCTGCAAAGTATAACTATATATTTTTCAGACGTCAGTATTTGTCTTTTGCAATGTTAAGTTTTTTTTATTAGTGTGTGATCAAACGTGGGACTTTGCAGGACTGCTAGATTATTTTCTTTTTTTAAATATTTTAACTATTCATTAGTGAGACATTATTTGATGTAACAAAGACAAGTAAAATTTCAGGCTTTTATCTTTAATAGTTTTTGAGATATTCATGTTGAAACATGACCTCAGACACTTTCTTTTACTTCCTCCTCAGGTATTGAATGGACAGATATAAAGCACCGTACCTTTGCTGGTACTGTTATGAGTTTATCTTGGAGTGTTGGGAACATGTTTCTGGCCCTCCTGGCCTACTTTATACGAGACTGGAGGCATTTGACTTTAGCAGTGACAGTGCCCTGCATTACTGCCATCATTCCCTGGTGGTAAGGAGTTTCCATTTCAATACTAACAGAAAACATGTTATTGTCTGTGTGTTTTTAAAATCCAGTTTCTTCTGCCTCACTTCAGGTGGCTTCCTGAATCAGCCCGGTGGTTGCTGGCTAATGGGAGAGTAGAGGAAGCCAAGAAGTATCTGATTCAGTGTGCTAAAGTCAATGGGAAGAATGAATACATATCCAAACTGGATAGTGAGGTGAAGCTAATGTTACTTGTGTGCAAAATTAACATCTACAGCTATATAAGGTTTAGAGTAGCATTTCAAATACGATTGCTTTTACACTGGAAAAAGCATCAGGATGTTGATGTCTGTTAATCAAGCTTTCAATCCCCCCAAACCATTTTTAACCTACAATCAAGCTTTACACCTTAGTGCAATTGTCCAAAACAAAAAGTTCACAAAAGGCACTGGAACTCCAGAAACAGTTCAGAGGGCTCGCCTGGAGGTTTGACGGCACAAGTGCAAAACAGAGCAGTTCAAGGGCCCGTCCTGGACGTTGACAGCACAGGATTTCAGGCCAAAACATTTTAGGAGGCTGACTGCATGGAAAAATAGTTCAGGAGGCCAACTGTGGAGCCAGCGCTGGCGGCAGAGCAGTTCTGGAGGCTGACAGCAGAGCCAGTAGCAGTAATGAGACAATCCAGGTTGCCAGCCGTTAGGGAAGCGGCGACGGCGCAGGTGAAGCAAGTCCAGACGAAAAAAACAAAAAAACAAAACAAAACAAAAAAACTTTTTTGGTTTATTGTACCAGGTTTATTTTTTTGGCAATTTTGCATATGTACTATGGATTTTATCATACATATTATTAACAGTTGTATTGATGCATAGCAACTTGAAATGGTCCAAAAACTTTAAAGAGTAGCTCAATTAATATTGCAATTACTATTGTTGTTATTCAATTAATTTTAATAAAATGGTGTCAAATCACATCAGCAGGTGCCTCAAGGCAAGCCAAATAAACCTGAATTAAAAGAAAATAGAATTGAATTCAATAGTTAATGGATTTGCTTTTCTTGCAAAAGATCTCTAATTCAAGAACAAGAATAGACACGCTCAGCACCAGAAGGTCACAAGCTGAGTGTTTCATCCAAGGGGTATCTGGCATCAAATCTGTGCCAATTCAAACATATCAATCCATCTACTGTGGTGACCCCTTGGGAAATAAGTGAGCAGCTGACTGCACTTTTTAAAATACATATTTTTACTTTTCCGTACTGCAGGTTCTGGTGAAGGTGACGGTTTCTGAGGTGGCTGAGAAGAACCACTCCTATCTGGATTTGGTCAAAACACCTAAGCTGAGGAAGATCACACTTGTCTCTGGATTCTTCTGGTATCAAGTCATTCTTCGAAAGCACTACTTGCTACTGTTGTCATTTCATGTATTTGTGTGTTTCATTTTGTGTTGCTGAACCTCCAGGTTTGCTGTTGCTTTCCTGTACTATGGGATTAGTTTCAAGATCTCAGGTTTTGGAGTCAATATCTACCTCACTCATTTCATCTATGGTGCCATTGAAGTTCCTGCCAAAGTCTTCGCCTTCTTCATCTTGGACTGGATTGGTCGACGAAATGGCCAGGCGTGGTTTCTAATCATAACAGGATCTCTGATTGGAATAAACACATTCATTCCTCTAGGTTAAATAACTTCCCGCCCTATTTACACTTAAAGTAAATGAGACTTGCAGACCTTTCTTTATTTAGTTAGTTTTAGTTAGCTTCATAAATCCACTCCAAGGTTTCTGATACCTTACACATCTTTGATCTGTTTCTTGCTCAGAGTTCTCTGTGCTTCGTACATGCATTGCTGTTGTGGCAAAAGGTTTCTCTGAGGCAGCTTTCACCACCGCATTCCTTTATTCGGCTGAACTCTACCCAACTGTCCTCAGGTATAACCCCTTGAGGGTTCCGAAGCATCACCATTTAACATCAAGTGCGCAGAAATAATGCTCTTTTAGTTACAAATTTTATGCAGTAAATGTACTTTGTGATGCAGCATTAAAACCATAGTTCCTGGTTGTGTTGTTGGGCAGGCAATGTGGTATAGGTTACACCTCGTGTATCTGTCGGATTGGGAGTTCCCTGGCTCCACTGATCATGCTGCTGAATGATGTCTGGCATCTTCTGCCCCCTCTGATCTTTGCTGGCACTGGAATTATCAGCGGCAGCTTGGTCTTCCTGCTCCCCGAGACACTCAATGTCCGTCTGCCTGAAAACATTGTTGATGTTGAAGAGGGAAGGTACGGTATAGACAAGACAGCAAAAAAGCAAATCAGAGAGTAACATTCAAACATGAGTCATAAGTTAAATTTAATCTCAAAGTATCTGTATCCTGGAAGTACTTTATTGCTATGTAATGTAATGTGTATGTGTTAGTCCCCATAGGGAAATAGTTCCTCTGCATTTAACCCATTCACCCAGTGAAGCAGTGGGCAGCCACCAATGCAGCGCCCGGGGAGCAGTGTGTAGGGACGGTAACTTGCTCAGGGGTACCTCAGGGTAGCCGTTCAGTGGAGTTGAACCCCCGACCTTCCGATCATGGGGCTACCACTCTACCTACTGAGCTATCCCTGCCCCAGTGCAGAGCAGGAATAGCTCACCATAGACATAAACTGTGAACACATACCAACAAACAGACCAAACCTGCCTCACTGTCAAGATATTCAGTAGGGATGGGAATAAGATAAGAAATTAGCACTTTGTTTCTGTTATCGATATCACTTAGGAATCCAACTCCTTATCGATTCTCATTGGGTTCTTATTGGCTGTGATTCAAAGCAATCACAACAGTTATCCTACTTTAGAAACATGAACAATTAAAAACAGAGGCTGCAGCCTGACTGCTCATCAGATTGTTCCCTGTTGAAGTTCAGGGTCTGGCTTCTGGGATGGGGTCACTCAGCTTTATCATCACTTTGGGTTCTTGTCTAGCTTAGTGTTAGTATGCTGTCTGTGCAAGCGCTTGCAAAGAGTGGAAGCTGTCCTAGAGCAGCAGCGCTCTTGTTCTTTATGCAAAAGAAATCAGAGTGGGGTCAGAATATCCACCTTGCAGACTGTGCCACTATTTTCCTCCTCTGGCACACAAACTGAAATCAGTTGATTGTAATACAAGTGCAAGTGGAATCGATCAGCAATAAGGTTGATAGTGTGGAGATCAGGGAAATATTTTACTGCTACTATTCATAACCATTATCATTAACCATTGCATTAATTCTTATTCTCATCAAAAACATTGATTGAAGCTGTTGGCATTATGTTATAATTTGTATTACTGGTGTTATCATAATCACGTACTAACCTTTTCATTACAGGTGTAGTTGTAATCATTTTATATACACTTTGCATTTCTGTGTTTATTTAAAGAATTGAAGCTCAGTCAGGTAGTTGAAGGTCGTGAACTTTGTTTGGCGCTATGATCAGACAATACATGGTGTAAGGGATGTTGAGCTATGGAAAGAACACGCTTACACAACTCATATTTTACATTCTTTTATTAAGCCTTGAGTAGGGGCATTTTGGTAAAACATTTATTCAATAGATCACACATACTTTTAGTTAAGATTATTACACATACCACTGAGAGCTTCTGTCTGGGAAAAGGTTAGAAGCACCAATGGGCGGGGTGAGGCTGAGTGCGTTGCAGGTCGACATACACACACAGACAACAGTTGGGCTCATGTTTAGGCTAGGAGTTCGAATAACAGTTTGCAAATGCCTGTAGCTGCAAAAGTATGCTGCAGGAGATAAGTGAGAGTCGGCACCTGGCCTCGAGACGGAGTGAAGGCTCTTTCCATATATGTCGAAAGTCGTCAATATTATTGTATGTGAATTGTATCTGTTTGACGCATGAGGGGGCGTCATAAACCAAACCCTGATGGTATAAAACAACCGTTTGTGTATTATTGGGCGGAGATCGATGCTGTCTCCGGGCAGTGTTCATCTCCCCACGCGTGTGTTCATTAAAATCATTGTTTGATCGAAGCTCTTCTGGACCATTATTGTTTTTGTGCTCACCCTCAATATCTGAACCCGTAACAATAGGCATTCAGAATGACAATTCCAAGGAACTGAACTTGGTGCCCTTTTATTATATTTTGTTCTTGACAAGTACTGGATTTTGTTAAGAAAAGTAAAACATGGAAAAGTCATGTCAATGTTGCTGTCTTAAATTACTGATGCTTTATTTTACTCTTAACAAATGAGAGAAAAAAATGACTGTTTTTATCTGTTTTTCTTTTCTATGTAGACACATGCAGGACGATGCAAAGGAAGATGCAGAGATTGAGCTTGTAAACTGTACAGAGGCAGCAGCATCGAAAGAAGACTGATCAGCTGCTGGCCAGAGAAGACTTTCTTTTTGATGGTTCTGGTTCATTAACACATGAATTATTGCTCACTATTGGGAGTTTACAGACTAGTGACTATTCTGTTCTGATCTTCATTTTGACCTCATATTGTTTCAGTTAGGACTGTTCAGTACAATATAGCATGAAGCATCAATTGTCATTTTATTGTTTCAAGCCTTGAAGTCTAATTTCAAAACTGTCAACCAACCGCTACTCATACTCAGCTTTCAATGTGCCTAATGTTAATAACAAACACTTGTTTGAGGTTGTCTTTCCTGGTTTGTTCTGTGTTCCCTGGTACCACAGTCTCATCTGCACTTGTCTTTTGCTTTCCATGTTCCCCTGTCTGGTCCTCTATGTTAAGTTAACCCTTGTTTCTCGTTCAGTCGCATCTTCCTGTTTTTTTCCCCCCAGTAACTGTGGCTTTCTGTGACTCTTGTTGTGTTTACTTCCCCTTTCTCATCATGTTTCTAGTTACAGCTGTGTGTTCCACCTGGTGCGTCTCCTCTTATTGTCCTGAGTGTATATGTTTTTTTTATTGTCTGCACTCCATTATATGGAAGAGGTGCTCTTTAGAACGGATACACACAGGCTAGAAATATCAACAAACTCTGAGGCACTCTCTTTCAAACAGACTCTTTTATTTTCACAGAATGGGTATAATTAATTCAAAAACAAACAAACAAAAAACTGGATCTGAATCTTTTCTAGTAGTGTTTCATCAATAGTGATCTACCACATATGACATTCCACCAATAGTTTCTACTGTTGGGAGAGGTGGGATTGAAAGAAATTGAAGATGTAATGAGCTTACCTCTAATTACATCAGAGAGAGGGTAAAAGAGTTTAACATCCAACCTTTTAAAGTGATAATCAGTGCTAAAACAGTTTATCTATATGTGATTTTGCTAACAGTTGACTGTTTTCTGATCAAAAATCTAATCAAAGTAAATGTAATTATCATGTTGAATGAGACTGTCTGTAGACTCCTCTTGTTAATGTTTTGGGCAAAGCAGATATTGTTGGCACAAGAAAGCATTCGGACCATGAGCTTGCTAAAACAGGTTAAAAACAAGTTAAACACTTTATAGTCTGTTTAAAGTCGTATCATATTCTATAAATCATGTTTGTGCTGGATATCCTGTGAGCAATAAAAAACAGTTGTTCATGAGCACCGACACACAGGTCCATATCTTGATTTTTATATAAAACATAAAATGTATAAGCGCCCAAGAAGACACCGTGAAGGCTTCCTGGCCATCCAGTGAAACTGTTGGGAAGACAACGTTGGAGAAACGTGAACATTTTATTTGTACTGTATAATCTGCAGATTCTGACAGAAATCTGCAACTATCCTTTGAAGCACCGCTCCTCTAAAACAGCAATAAGGATCATTATTAGGCCATATGTAAATAACAAAATAACTTTATAACTTAAAGCAAAATTGGGAAATGTAAAGTCCGAAACAAGTCTTTATATTAAGGCCATTAGTCAAACAATACTGTTCGGTCTGGGTCTAAACAGAGCGCGTTGTGTGTGACGTCTTCTTTTGCGCATGCGGGCCGCTTTGAGGGTTCACACTAGAGCGCGTTTGCTGTCATATTTTATCTGTAGTGTGAACAAGCAAAAAAATTGGATTTGATCAAAAAATCGGAATTGAGCATTAAGACCTGCAGTGTTGGACATGCTCTCAGAAACAAAGCTATGAAACTGAAAAAAGGTTTCGGTGACAAGAGCCAGTTGTGGCAACAAGATGGCACACACACACTATGTATTAGTTATACACACACATAGACAAAAATCAACAAATCAAAACTTACAATGCCCTCTTACAATATTTACAATAACTAAAAACTGTGTAGTTAGGCTTTTAAATGTTTTCTAAAATAAGGAATTGTAGCTAGTTCTCTATTTGCATAAGGCAGTTAATTCCACTTAAAAGATGCTCTAAATATAACAGTTGTTCAAAAAGTTACTTTTAACTTGAGGAATTACTAAATTCCAGTTTGTTAGAAATCGTGTTGCATGATTATGTATTTCATCTGGATACTGCAGTTGAGCAGAGAAACAAATGTGATGTGCTTAACAGTATTGCTTTCTTTATAAATAAAAGTAAGCCGTAGTGTAATTTAGCTTGTACACGAAGCCAGAAAAGTTTATTATGCATTTGATCGATACTAGTGTAGTATGAACATCTTAACATTACTCTGGCCGCCCTATTCTTGTCACGGCTGCGGCAGCAGTCGTGTGGGGTTGAAGGGAAAAGGACCCAATCGTAGGCCCTGATGATGCAATGAATGAGCTTTATTTACATGATGTGATAATACAGAAACTAAGAACAAACCTAAACTGGGACAATCTAACCAACAAATATAAAACCATAATTCAGAGGGAAAACATGCTATGATGATATGGTAGCTGCCTGAAATGATGGTGGTTTTCCTTTAGTGCGAACAACTGCATGTCAGTTTCACACTTGGTCTAACAGTCCGTCACTGGTCTTTCAGAGCCGTGAGCTTCTCTGACATGTTATCAATTTTGCACTCAACAAGCACAGTCTGAGTACTCACAACCACCGTGAGCTTCTCCAAGATGTTATCCAATTTTTGCTCAGAGAGCATAGTCTGAGTGCTCACGACAGCCTCGAGCTTCTCCAAGATCTTACCGTGCTGCGTTCAATGATCCCATTTTGAGAAGTTGCGACCCGTCCCATCGTTTCCATCACAGCGGGCAGCCTTGTGGGAATTTGAACAGCTGATTCCGCTTTCTTTAATCTGCGATAAGAAAGGGCCAAGCCAGCTCCGATCAGCAAGAACCCTGTTATCATGGTTCCAAATAGGTAGATGTCTTCAATGTCCTCGATCGACAGTCCCACCAGGAACACGACTCACCAGTTTTTCAACCCGTCCATCATGTATCCAGCAGGGAACGTCCCTTCAGAACACTCGGCTCACCCCAGGCTTCTCATTGAGAAGAGGGTGTCAATTGCGTTCAGGGACCAGTTGATCAAATCCATAATTTCTCTTTTAGGTTTAGGAGAACAGACCGTGAGAGTCTTCCAGGGTAAAAGTAGAAAAGTAGGCGGGACTAAACAAGGACATTGAGAAGCCAAGCAGGAAAGATAAGGAGGAGGGAGAGGAGAAAAGTGCGACCGCCTTCGTCAAGAGCCAAACGAGAAATCTACTAGTGCATTAATGACATCATTCATGATTGAAGAAGTGATATAGAAAGAGCATTTCCAAGCCATAGCTATGCCCTGTCCCATTTTCTTAATAACAGAGTCCATGTGCTGAGACCATGAAAGGTGGTGATTTATGGTAACACCGAGTAGTTTAATCTGGGTGACCTGTTCTAATACTGATCTGACTATGGAAAGATTCAGTTGTGGAATGTTGACTAAACGTATTCTACCTCCAATTAACATAGATTTAGATTTAGATACATTTAGAATCATGTTGTTTTTACTTATCCAGTCAAACAAGCAAATCTTGTTGTAATACGCTGGTCAATTCGAAGTTGTCACTGGCTGAATAAAACATGGTGGAATCATCGCATACATAATTTTTCATCCAACACAAAGCAGCTGGTGAAAATCCATAACATTTTAGTTTATCAATCAAAAGATCATGATTTATTAAATCAAATGCAGCACTTAAGTCCAAGAACACAACCCCAACCACTTTCCCATCATCTAGATCAGCGGTCCCCAACCCCCGGGCCTCGGACCGGTACCGGGCCGCGAGAGTTGAGGCTCAGGTGTGAAATTTACGGTTTTCAGGGTTTTTATCGGTTTTCAGCGTTATTTTGTTATCGTTTTTATCGTTAACTTGGTTTTCCTGGGTCTTTTCATGTGTGTTATGAATAACTCTTCTATTTTTCGGTACCGGTACTAGTTTTATTTTGTTGTATTTTTCCGCGACACCTAAAAGGCCGGTCCGTGAAAACATTTTCGGGCATAAACCGGTCCGTGGCGCAAAAAAGGGTTTTTTCTGTCCTCAAACTGTTCTCCCATCAGTCTGGGTGGAGCTTTTTTCTCCTCCTCTTACCTCATGTTGTGTGCTTTTGTTGTATCAGCCTACTCACTGACCTGTCTCCCCAATGTGATGTTTGTGCAAAGTGTGTTGGTTGGAGGGTTCTTTTGTGAGTGCGCATGCGCCAACCAGCACGCTGCCTGCTGTAACCCATAATTTTCTTCGGGATTAATAAAGTATTTCTGATTCTGATCCTGAGTAGCCTATTGACACCATTAAAAACAACATTCTTATTTTTTGGAGTAGGAATTATTTTAAATTCTTTCCACTGCAGTGGAAATAAGTTGCATGCCAAACATCTATGTGACATAGGAAGGGATAGAAACTTGGCTGCAACTTAGAGCAGTTTACCTTCTATATTATCAGAACCTGAGGATGCATCATCAGGAAGTGATATTAATAAACGCTCCACTGTCACAACATTCACTGCCTCAAACTTGCCATTCCTTATTATTCATGATAACATCCTGTATAGGACAGTGTGATGGGGTGGGATTGCTTCTGCTCTTATTAGATTTTAAATTTGTTACTTTATTGCTGTTGTAATTCTCAAAATTATTTTCTATATCCTTATCCTTAGCTTTACTTATAAACATTCCATCCATGTTGATGTGTGACACCACCAGAGCGAGCTCTCTACCCATTATATTATTTAAAACTTTCCACCAGAGGTGGAGCCAGACATTTGAAACACCCGGGGCTTAGCCCTAAAGGGTAGTATGCATGTGGGATTTTTTTTTTTTTTATTTTGGGGGGGGGGGGGGGGGGGGGGGGGTAGAAATGACTGAAAGATTAATAGGCTCTGTTTTGAGTTTTGTTTAAATAAAAAGACTTCATATAGGAAAAAAATATATCACATATGCAGGTCACCTTAAGCTAGGTTTTTAATTAAGCAGCGAGGCAAAACAAAATCAGGGCTGTATCAAGACACAAGGACTAAACCCCAATTCAACCAGACCCAGAACTGATCCGGAATTAAAACAGGACTACAACATTTCAAAATCAGGACTACTGAGGACTTAACCAAGACAGAACCAGAATCAGAACTAGATGATAGTAGCACTAAAAATAATCATAGACCTGGACTACACTTATTTTTTTAAATTCTACCAAAGTCCACTATTTAGATTGAGAAAAGTTTATATAATTATTTATCCTTGTTGTGCAAACAAGCCTGCATAACTTAATAAATGTAGAATTTGAAAAATAACAAACCTAAAAAGAAACACTAGGTACGAGATACATGAGGACCTGTGATACAGTGATACTTTGGTAAACAACCATTTGACTAACATGTGTGTCTCACCTGCTCTTGTTCATCTCTGTTCTGTCCTCATTCTCCATCTCCCTCTCTGTTCCTCTCTCTCCCTCTTTGTGCTGACAATTATCAAATATACAGTTGAAACCAGATATTTACAAACTCTTCAGATAAAAACACTTTTTTAATTGTAACATCAAATCAGAGTAAATGTTTATTTTTTTAGATTGATAAATATATAAAAAAAACATATTTGTTAACTTTAAGAGTAAAGAGAGAAACTATCTGTATTTCTTAATTGCAAATGGCACCAAATTGTATTCAAACTGAGCCACACTTATGGAGCTCCACAGTTCTTTTCCTGGTGTTTTGGTTGACATCTCTTGATTTTCCCATTTCAAAGAAACAGGCTCTGTGCTTTGCCTTATATGCATCCACAGGTGTGCCACCAATTTACTCACATGGACTCTACTAACCAATCAGAAGCTTCTTGGTGGTGGTCAGAGGGCCCGGTGGCGCCTGTGTCCGGCAGCCTCGCTTCTGTCAGTGCGCCCCAGGGCAGCTGTGGCTACAATGTAGCTTGCCATCGCCAGTGTGTGAATGTGTGTGTGAATGGGTGAATGACTGAATGTAGTGTGAAGCGCTTTGGGGTCCTTAGGGACTAGAAAAGCGCTATACAAATACAGGCCATTTACCATGTCTTCAGCTCAGAATGGAATCTCTGGAGTTTCTTATTAATTAACAATAAACTTAGTGTATATGTACTCCTAAATTTGATGAAAGTGATAAAAAATAGACCGCTCTGTCTCTCTTTATTCTGACATTTAACTAATTCAAAAGATATTTCAATATTTATTTAACCAAAACAAAACAAGTTTACTCTAAATTG